AGTTTGCCTAACTCTGCTTTATAACATCAGGGCCCAGCCGAGCTTAGACATTTGTTGAGAGTTTTGCAGCTCTCTGCAGACTAAGTGCCCTGAGGTCACTCCTGGCTGCCCAGACCACCCTCTGAAGTCTATAGGCTGCCTTAGTGGTTAGCAATGTGGCAGTGCTGGCTTCAACACCCCCCAGGGACATGGTGTTTGAATGTTCTCCCTGTTTGCTTGGGTTTTCTTCCGCAGTTAATAAAAACATATTAACAGGCTCTGACGAAACTGGCTGTGAAGTGTGTATAAAATTGTAGTGAGGGGGGGTAGATTTCTCCTTTGCGGGTAGGGATTGATGTGAGCTGTTTAATACACCATGTAGATGCTACAGAATATGTCAACTACAAAAATGCATACAATAAAAATAAAAATTTTTTTTCGACATCATCTGTTTCAAATTTTAATTTACAACTAAACGGACCCAATTTCAGGGAAATAAAAACTAAATTAATAAAAATGAGCATAAATCTGTGTTCCACAAACAGAAGCTGATGCTCATTTGAAACCATATGTTTTGTTCTGTCCTAAAACCAGCCGTGTCTTCACATCATCAGGTCCATCAATGGTAGAGCAAACATGTTCTCCACTAAATGCAAACAACTGTGACCAATCCATCATGTTCTCCAATTTATTCAAATTTTCTTTGCAGGGAGAAGGGACCTGAACACCGTATGGTACACATCTGCATGTAATTACTGTAGCATGTTAGTACCACGCTTGTACAACGCCGAGGAAAATGTTACATTTAATCCCATTAAGGCCCAAAACATGCATGAATCCTAGTTTAAATAAAAAAAAAAAACACTGAAACTAAACCAAAGTTATTCAGGTGAGCAAAATGAGTCCCAATACCCTACTGCTGGCTAATCTGTGACTCGCTCTCCGCTATTTGGCACACAGTACCATTCGAATGTCACATCTGACCACATCTTGCCAATTTAAAGTAAAGTTAATTTCTTAGCTTTTGGGGTAGGGAATGAATAAAGTCTCTATCCATTTTTATTTGCTAGCACTGTCTCGTTGGGGTGACTTCCCTTCATGTCCTGTCCTACTGACATAACAGGAAGTAAGAGGAATTGTTTTTAAAGATTAAGAGAAGTTAACCCTCTCTTGAGTTTGCCATATACTGCTCGAAATTTGACCACTGTCAGTACCCCTCTGTTGAACAAAAATCGAAAAGAGGGAGAAGCTGGTCTTATAATTCTCAGCTATAGTTAGTGTTTGGGTATTCTGACAGTGGAATACAATAGCACGGTAGGAGGGATCGGGGAACTGAGTGTTTTATTCTCATTACAGTCTTCAATCAGTGGGTTAACTGTGCAATGCTCTGGCTCCTGTACTAATCCTGTCCATGTCCGTACCGAGGTACAGGCATTCAGTAACATGGGCTGGAGAATGAATGTATTATGTGCCTGTATTCCATTGAGTCAGCTGGTGCAATAGCCAGTCTGCTATTGGCTATGGCACCTGCCCACTGCCTGCTGTCAATCAACAGCAGAGCGGATCTGATGGGGAACTCTGTTTTCAGAATTACCCATCAGGCTCCACCCACTCCGTCACTAGAACAATTAAATGTAAACAAGGGGGATGCTGGCTGATATAATTGCCCAAGTATGGCAATGATATCAGCCAGCATCCCCGGCCCCTTTGTTCACATTCAGCTGCTGGCTGGGGAATCCCCTGGTTGACACCTGAATGGGGTCGGGGATGCATAATTGGTTCCTAGGACTCTGTGGTCCAGTCCTAGAACCAGTGAACAGGAATTTGTCAGATTCATAAAAGTTCCCAGCACATACATCACATGCCCCACTCTGAGCATTGGCATCTCTCTGTAAGCCAGATCAGATTTGATCTTAACTTCCACCAGTTTTCTAATCTGTAAACTGTCAATTATTATTTTTTAATCAGTTGCAGCCTTAACAACTTGAATCTGCCACAATAGCCAGTTTCGGTCGCTATAGCTACCAAAACTGGCAATAGGGATTTTTTAAATTTTTAGTGCAGGAACTTTTTAAAGGTGAAATAGTGCCGTTACGGCTTTATTGAATTCCCCCCAGTGTGGCGGATCAGCGCTGGCGGATCGGAGCGTGAAGGGTGGAATCCAGCCCCTCCCCTGTCACGGCAGAGAGCCGTGACAGGATTGAGAGGTGAGCGAACGCCGGTATGTGTTCGCTCACCTCACGATCTACTGAGACGACCTGTGACAGGTCAGCTAGAACTATGAGGTGAGTAAAAATCACTCACCTCATAGTTCTCCTTTAATGTTGCATAAAGACATGGATCCATCTATTTCAACCTATGTGTCTGTGTGTATGAGTCACTTATCCCCCTCTCTATTGTGTTCACTAAGGAAAGCTTCCAAATGTTTCTTGAATGAGTCTATCTTAGCTGATGCCACTACCCGGGGAAGGGAGTTCCACAATTTTAACACCCTTACAATGTATCTTCTTTATTCAGTCACCTACAGATAAAAGTTCAGTTAACCCTCAGTGTAGGGTAGCCCCACTGCAAGGGTTCATTTTTTATTCTGCCCGGAGTTCTTCTTTAAACCTTTTTTTTCTTCCAATTTCAGGTGGTGGCCTCTAGTGTGGTACAGTAGCCATCTTTCCAAGCTTGCTCCCATGATGGACTACAGTCTTAATACAAATAGTAAATTAAACGTGAGGTTGTAGTCAGGTTGTAAACCATCACGGGCAGGGCTAGATTTCCAATTCGGGCACCTTGCTGCAGGACCTGCCGTCTTTCACATATGCAGTGAAGGACCATGGAGTCCGAGCATGGACACCCGGACCCGCACTTATGTGCAGTTCGGGTATGCATATGACAGCATATGGGCGTGTCCTCCCATAGCGAAGAACTGGCTGCTGCACGCAGTCACAAGCAGCACCTATCCCTCTCGGGAACGGCCCGATACGGCGGGCATGCCCCGAGTTAGCCTCCGTGTGAATGAGGCCTAATGGCAAGTCTGGCCCTGATCATGGGAGTGAGCTTGGAGTGGTGGCTACTTTACAACAACACATAGGGACCATGGGGAACAGAAGAAGCCACCCTCCAGAAGGAAGGATAGTGTCGGCACCAATTCAGCGATGATTTGAGGGTCTACAGGTGAAACTTGAATAATTAGAATATCGTGCAAAAGTTCATTTATTTCACTAATGCAACTTAAAAGGTGAAACTAATATATGAGATAGACTCATTACATGCAAAGCAAGATAATTCAAGCCGTGATTTGTCATAATTGTGATGATTATGGCTTACAGCTCATGAAAACCCCAAGAACACCAAATCCACAACCTCAAAAAAGTAGATTATTACATGCAATCAATAAAACAAGGATTGTACATAGAACAATATCGGACCTCTGAAAAGTACAAGCATGCATATGTACTCAGTACTTGGTTTGGGCCCCTTTTGCAGCACTTACTGCAATTACTTTTGCACGATATTCTAATTATTCGCGTTTCACCTGTACAGCTGAGTGATACATAAACAAGATACATGTTTGTTAAAGTGGCACTAAACTCAGGAGTTGAATCTTAAAAATACAATCATGTACCTTAAAGGAGAACTATGGGGTTAGGGCTTTTCCCCATAGTTCTCCTCAGGTATACTGAGATGCCGCAGCTGAAGCGGATCCCGACAATTATGTCGAGATCCGCCCAGCTGCGTGAGTGACAGCTAGCTCTGCCTATCTAGAGGCAGAGCCAGCTGTATACTGAGCCAGCTGTATACTGAGCCAGCTGTATACAGAGCCAGCTGTATACTGAGCTTAGGGTGACGGGAGGACGCTAGTTTGTGTCCTCCCGTTACCCTCAGGAGAACAATGGGGAAAAGCCCTAACCCCATAGTTCTCCGTTAGGCCTGGTTCACACCTGGGCATTTTACAGCGTGTTCCTACGCTCTGTAAAATGTTCAACATGTGAAAACCAATGATTGCCTATGGTTCCCACCTGGGCGTTTTACAGTGCGTAGGAACGCACTGCAAAATGCCCTACGCCCAAAGAAGTACAGGAGCTATTTTGGTGCGTATTTGCCGCTCGTATCCATTGGGACACAGCCAGGTAGCCCTCGGAAACGCGCATTTGTCACGCATTTTTACTGCGAATCGCGATAAAAATGCGCAGCACAAAACGCGCGACAAACGCGCATATTCGATACGCCTAGGTGTGAACCCAGCCTTAGGCCTGGTTCACACCTGGGCGTTTTACAGCGTGTTCCTACGCGCTGTAAAACGCTCAACATGTGAAAACCAATGATTGCCTATGGTTCCCACCTGGGCGTTTTACAGTGCGTAGGAACGCACTGCAAAATGCCCTACGCCCAAAGAAGTACAGGAGCTTCTTTGGGGCGTATTTTCCGCGCGTATCAATTAGGATACAGCCGGATAGCCCTTGCAAACGCTTGTTTGTCTCGCGTTTCTTTTACCGCAAATCGCGATAACGCGCGGCACGAAACGCGCGGCAAACGCGCATATTCCGTACGCCCAGGTGTGAACCCAGCCTTAAGGCCTGGTTCACACCTGGGCGTTTTGTAGCGCGTTCGAACGCTCTGCAAAACGCTCAAACACCAAATTCCCATTGTTTCCAATGGGTATGGTTCACACCTGGGCGTATTTCAGCCCGTCTGAACGCGCTACAAAACGGCCTACGCCCAAAGAAATACATGAGCTTCCTTGGGGCGTTTTTGTCGCGCGTATCCATTGGGATACAGCCAGGTAGCCCTCGGAAACGCACGTTTGTTGAAAAACGTGCGGCACGAAATGCGCGACAAACGCGCATATTCGATACGCCTAGGTGTGAACCCAGCCTAAGGCACTAGAATGTATTTTTAAGATTTAATTCCTGAGTTTAGTGTCATTTAAAGCTTCAACTTTAATCATCTCTGAATTAGTGCTGACACTGTCCTTCCTTCTGGAGGGTGGCTACTTCTGTTCCCCCATGGTCCCTGTGTGTGTTGTAAAGTAGCCACCGCTCCAATCTCACTCTCATTATGGACTAAAATAGTATACTTATTTGTATTGAAATTGTAGTCCATCACAGGAGTGAGCTTGGAGCAGTGACTACTTTACACCACACACAGGGATCATAGGATCATAGGGAACAAAAGTTGTCACCCTCCAGAAGGAAGAACAGTGTCAGCACCAATTCAGAGCTGATTTGAGGATCTACAGCAGGGTGACACACACATAAGATACATTTTTGTTACTAGTTTGGATACTTGAATACCTTTTTATGATTTACCTCTTGAGTTTAGTGTCAACTTTGTAATAACTGGAGTTGTTGTTGGGTGCAGCCAGCACTCCTATGGACCGGGACTCCCTGTAATAAGCCCGGAGTGTCATCTGTCTCTCTGATCGGAAATCCTAATGCCTCCTCCAGCAATCAGACATCAGTCAGGAGTTGTAATAATAAAGGACTCTTCTAGGGGATGTGAGGACATTTATGAGGCGGAATTCCTGCACACGTCCCACATCTGGACTCGCAAACTCTGAGAAGTTGTGTAGCCCGCCTGTGGGCGGGGCCTGGGTACCCACACCCATCCCTGCACATACAATGAGAGCTATGGGCTGCCTGGGGATCGTCAGTGCGAGCGCTCACCCTGCGATCAGCGGAGTCCGATGTCAGCCCGGATCATCCCACTACAAACATAACTTGTACCGACCGAGCCTGAAGAACGATGGCGGCGCGGACTGCACTGCTCGGCATGGCTCCCCTCATCTGGGTGATGATTACTAATCCAGCCGGATCTTATAATATCGATGAATCCAGCCCCGTGGTGTTCCGGGGACCCGGAGGATCTCTCTTCGGATACTCTGTACTCCTGCACAGCTATGGCACTGAGAAATGGTCAGTGGATGCAGTACAGGTCATGTATTTATCACACACACATGCAGGAGATGTCTACAATATTGTCATCATACTGATAGGGATTTATCACAACTGGAGCAGGCATCATCTGGAGAAGTTGCCCATGGCAACCCATCAGCTTGAAGATAAATGGTTACTATGGGCAACTGCTCCAGATTATGCCTGCTCCAGTTTTGGGGAACTCACCCCACAGTATTGGCACAACATTGTAATCAAGCAGTATAATTGTACAGTATTATAATCATACAGTGGGGGTGGTGGTGGGGAATTATGAAGACTGGAGCAGATGGAATCTGGAGCCGTTGCCTATAACAACCAATTGGCTTCTCTCTTCAGTTTGTTCAGTTAAGCTTGAAAAATGAAACATGGAAGTTCTGTAAAAAATAAGTCAAGGCAACTGGACTCGCTGTATTTTTCTTGAAGACGTTTCGCTGGTCATCCGACCAGCTTTCTCAATTCAGAATGACTTGTAATGACTTGAGAAAGCTGGTCGGATGACCAGTGAAACGTCTTCAAGAAAAATACAGCGAGTCCAGTTGCCTTTACTTATTTTTTACAGAACTTCCATATTTCATTTTTCAAGCTTAACTGAACAAACTGAAGAGAGAAGCCAATTGGTTGTTATAGGCAACTGACCTGGATGAATGAGAACCATCACAGACAGCATGGATGTTGATTGGTTACCATGGGCAACTGCTCCAGATTTTGTCTGCTCCAGTTTTTATAAATTTCCCCGGTATCATTGCACAGTATATTATTGTAAAGTGCTGCGCCAACTGTTGGCGCTATATAAATCCTGTATAATAATAATAATATTAGTCATACAAGGGGAGGGGGGGTTAATCAAAACTAGAGCAGTTTATCATGGCAACCAATCAGCTTCTCTATTTCATTTTTAAAGCTTGACTGAAGAGATGCTAATTGGTTGCTATGGGCCCCAGTTTTGTTAATTCTACCCCCTCCCCCTTGTATATTTGCATAGTATTATAATCACTGAGAGGGGAATTTATCAAAACTGGAGCAGAGAAATCCTGGAGCATTTAAAATGCCCATGGCAACCAATCAGCTTCTCTCTTCAGTTTGTTCAGTTAAGATTTGAAAATGAAAGATAGAAGCTGATTGGTTGGCATGCACAGCTGCTCCAGTTTTGATAAATTCCCCTCACAGTGTATGTGCACAGTGTTATACAACCATGCAACCAATTACTCAAAGCTACTTTGGCAGTGCAAGTCCTTGCTGGGACTTGCAGTGTGCCAACAGCTGTAGAGACCGGGACTGCAGAGGTCAGCTAGCAGTGAAATGCATTCATTATTTATTTATTAGTCCCAGTTGACACCATTGTGTTCTGTGAACGTGCGTCGAGTGCAGGAAAAATGCACGCTTTGATGCGTGCTCATGCAATGCATAAAAAACTTGGAACTCGCTTGCGGTGCCATTACCAGTTAACGGCACCCCTAACACGGCCAGGAAAATGCGCAGCTTTCCCGCACATTCATGTGCATTAAAACAGTCAGAAACACGCGGTTTTCTCATGCATTTGCACAAGTTAAAACAAGCAAAAACACGTGGGAAAAAAAGCAGAACGCATGTCGCAGAATTTTCTACTTTCTCACGTGCAACTCCTCATTAAAATAAATGAGCAAACGCAGGGAACAAATGCCTATGAACGTGCGTCACAGTTACGCTATGGTGTTAACAGGGACCTGCAGGTATTTATTTGTATAGCTCTGTCCGTTTATACGGCACTTTACATAGTTGCACATTCACAATAGTCCCTGTCCCCAAGAGCTTACAATCTAAAGTCCCTGACACATACCGGCATGCATACACTCATACTAGGGCCAAATCACGCTGTCTGAATGTATCAGATTCCTTCATCCGCGCTAAATATGGATGGACGGATCTCCTGCTGCGGCTATTGTATTTGGACAGCCAGTGATTGCCGCCATTAGAACACTGATTGGCTGTAGTCGCTGTTCGGACAAAAATCTTTGGCCCGGCTCCTTTGACAAAAGCTGATTTAGTAATGGACTATTACAGGACCATACACTGTTAGAACTTCGAATTCAGTGATTCTAACTGGCCGATTCCAATTTTTAACAGTGTCTGGCCAGCCTTAGACAGGAGCCAATTTACCTATCAGTATGTGTGGGAGGTAACCCAGGGCCAACATGCAAACTCCATGCAGATAGCGTCCTGTGTACATGGAAATTTAAATGGGAGTTGTTGCCAATACCAGTCAGTTACATTATTATTATAATACAGTATTTATATAGCGCCAACAGTTTGCATGGCGCTTTACAATCAATATAAGGAAGGCATTACAGTCCAAGACATAATCGCTGCCGTTCCCTTGGAAAGAAAATGGCCGATCGTCCCCTTGTCGCTGATGTTTCCGTAGATCAGCCCTTGCTTCTTTTCACATGATGGAACCTTTTTTTCTAATGTACTGTAGAAAGAATTGTTCTAATAAAGTCTTTTTATATCCCAGGATGGTTGTCGGGGCCCCAAAATCCAACCTGACCTCCCGGCCAGATATTTTCAGCCCTGGAGAGGTTTTCAAATGCAAGATTGGAGATAACGTCAACGGGACCTGCGAGGCGATGGATGTGGGTGAGTACAGAGAGAGGGAATGGGGTTGGCAAGGATGCTGATGTCATGTTACAAGAGTCTCAGCAGTTTGGGGGAATGCTGTGAGGTTTATGCTTACATCCAGGCCCGCTGGAAAGTCGGTAGAACTCACATGGGAACTTTAGATCCAGCTATCCTGGTGATGCATAGAGCAGGACCTTCGTGGACTTTTTGTAAATCATTTTATAATATCATTTCTGTATCACATTACCTATAAAGATGGCCAACACAACCAACGCAAGTACATTACAATCAAAATACTGTGAGGGGAATTTATCAAAATTGGAGCAGACAAAATCTGGAGCAGATGTGCATGGCAACTAATCAGCTTCTCTGTTTCATTTTCAAATCTTAACTGAACAAACTGAAGAGAGAAGCTGATTGGTTGCCCTGGGCAACTGCTCTAGATTTTGTCTGCTCCAGTTTTGATGACTTCTCTTAATCAGATTAAGATTTTAGACTAAAGCTGGCCATACACAGCTTGAATTTAGGCCAATTCCTTTGAACCCCAGCCACGGTTGTCACTGCCGGCCCCATCCGGCCTGACAAATTTTGATAGTGAAATCGAAAGGAATCAGTAGGAAAATCTTTGGCTGAGCAGTGACTGCAGCTAAGCAGATGCAACCTGTGTTCGGGTATTCAAACAGCTGTACTCCCGTTGCCAGCTATTGTATTCAAGCAGTAGCAGGAGTATGGCTGTTTGAATACCTGAACACTGGCTGCATCTGATTGGCTGCAGTCACTGTTTAGCATGGATGGGGGAATCATTGATTTTCTCTCGTTTAGCTCACAGGCAGAATGAGGAAAAACATTAAGATGTATGGCCAGGTTAAGATGCAAATTTTCAGTGTAGTGAATGGAGACAGGAGTAGCAGATGATGGTGAATCAGTGATTCACGATCAACTGTGGTGAATGTTACCTTGGCAGCATTATTATACAGGATCTATATAGCGCCAACAGTTTGCACAGAGCTTTACAATATAAGGAAGACATTACAATCACAATACAATTCAAGACAAGATGGTAAGGAGGGCCCTGCCCCCGTGGGCTTACAATCTAAAAGGGAGGGGCAAGTGATACATGAGGAGGTAGCTGTGTGGGGATGAATTGTTTGAGATTGTGTAAGTAAGCTGCTAAAGATTCTGGCTTTGGATGTCCAGTTGAAGAAAGACAATGCAGATGTTGGCAAATGTCAGCGAATGTCTTTTGGTCTCGCTAAAGTATAGGCTAATGTGACCTAGAAAGGGATTTAAAATACAGACAACAAATATTTTGACAGTAGCAACCTTGTGACTTCCTCAAAACTGTTATAAAAATGGTGTTACTAATCGTGTGAAATATACTGATAACTTACCCAGGGTGGTTGATTCACTAATAGAATAGAAGTTTTTCATGCAACAAAGTGAATGTCTATTTACCACAGTCAGTGTTGGTAAATCGTGTGAACCTGTGTTTACTTTAAAGTGACACTAAACTCGGAGAGATACACAAATAAGATACATTTTTGTTAATAGTTAAGGTACTTGAATACATTTCTAAGATTTCATTCCTGAGTTTAGTGTCACTTTAAATATATAATAATGCTAGAAAAGGTTTATCTTTTAAATTTTCCTAGCATGATTGTGTATTCATCCCCCATTTAGTGCGACAATGTTCTACATGAAGGACCCCATTATTTTCAATGATGCCTATTCACACCTAAGTGTTGTGTAACCTGTAGCTCAAAAAATTCATAAGCTTTTTTTTTCGGGTAGAATTGTGCGTTTCTGATCCAATAAACATCAATGGGGGAGGCTGCACGATTTCACATTTAACAATCATCTCTTTCTCCTAGTAAATAGCTTTCCATTGGATAAAAAAAAAATGCTCCAGCTTGAAAACACACACAAAAAAACGTTTCAGAATTGCCTGAAAAAACGCCCATGCTCTTGTGTGAATGGGGGCTTTTTTTAGCCCTTTTTTGTAACAAACACTTTGATAGGTAACAACTATTACTCTATTATTAATATCAATAATTAAGGATGCACCGATACCAATACTAGTGCCAATACCGAGTGTTTGGGCGAGTACTCGTTCTCGCCCAAATCATCCCGATGCCTATCCCTATCTCGGAATTTCTGGTATCGGGAAGCCGGTCGGTGAGTCATTACACGCTGCCTGTCACTTGGTGATGAGGGTACATGGAGATGGCTTCACTACTAATCGGGAAGCCGGGCGGCGAATGATTGCATGCCGCTCGGCTTCCCTAATGGAACTTTTGACATCGGTATTCACTATCAGTGAGTACCCAAAAAAAAAATATCGTGCTCGATACCGAAAAAACGGTACCGGTGCATTCCTAATTATTATTATACAGGATTTATACAGCACCAACAGTTTGCACAACGATTTACAGCATACGGGGAGACGGTACAATTACAATACAATGCCATACAAAAGGATTGAAAGGACCTTTAGTAAATCTCCCCCAATGCTTAGGGCTGTTATTATCAGATGCAGTTAAAATTACTTCTGTTATTTGTGTTTTTTCCTCGCTTTTGTTGCACAATATTGAGTTCTCGGCATGCCCTGTGGATTTTGTAACTTATTTAAACAGTCATTTAAAGGTGCTTTCACTTTCTTTACAAGTCCCATAAATGTAAACATGTAAACAACCGGGCTCCTAATTTTATTTATGATGGCTGAACCATGCTTGTTGTAGTGTGTGTAAAAAGAGGGATGTGTGACTTGTAAGGGGATTGTGAATTTGTCACATCTGCTAGATAACATGGCCTGCTACAAGGTTCTGAGCAGGATAAAACACAACTTCCTTATTTAATGATGTGATAGGCATCCTGGTGTTCTCAAGAAGCTGATTGAGCTGTGGTTTATGGAATCCCAGCTTGCTTTGCAGGCCAGGGAGGCATACTGTTTGGCCATAAGGGGAAGTATTCTTAGGTATCAGTTGTAGTCACTGTTCTGGTGGGTGCCGGTGGTCAGAATACAATTAACCTGGCGGGAAAGAGATTACCCTAGCTAAGCTGCTTAGCATAGATGGGGGAATCTATTTTTTCCCCCGAAAAAAATAACTACATTTATGACCAGCCTTAATGGAGAACTATGGGGTTAAGGCTTTTCCCCATAGTTCTCCTTAGGGTAACGGGAGGACACAAACTAGCGTCCTCCCATCACCCTAGGCTCAGTATACCGCGAGCTGTAGCTGAGAGCCGTGACAGGATCGAGAGGTGAGCGAACGCCGGTATGTGTTCGCTCACCTCCCGATCTACTGAGCCGACCTGTGACCGTTTCATTGTCACTGGTCGGCTAGAACTATGAGGTGAGTGAAAAGCACTCACCTCATAGTTCTCCTTTAATCTCACTGAGGTTTTTTCACCGTTACCTATCTTTTATATCGGCTATTAAGATTAAAGCTGGCCATAAATGATGTGGTTCATCAAGAAGTGGACGAAACTTGCACTGTAGTTGCCACTGTTGACATCGTTTCAGCTGGCATCCCTTGATCAGCTCATCAAAGGAGCCGTTTGGAAAATCATTGAACGAACAGAGCCAGCAGCCAATCAGCTGCCAGGGTTCTAATATAATGGCCAACTCGTCGAGATCTTCAACTTGTGACATCACATCCGTTGGAGACTTTGACGAGATGGCTAGTGCGCGTGCACCAGCCCGGGCATTTTTACAAGCTTTGTCGCCTTCCGTAATTGCTGTAAGTGCGACATCGCAATCCTCATCGAGTTCTCCATCAAAATATCTATCAAGTTCAAAAGCAAACTCAGTAAAAATAAATTTATGAAAGGAGAACCCTACAAGTTACCATTGAGGTCTCATAGACACGGGTCTAGAAGCTGCAGCTGAGGATTCCTGCAATAAGAATGGGGGGGAATTAAGACACAGGGCCCAGATAGGTGTGAGGGATCTAATTTGTGGGTAGGCATGGGAAAAAGATTGCTATTTTATGTTATTGTTGGCTCCTATCAGGAGAAAACACTGCACCCAACATGATGACCTATCCCCGTAGTTTCTGGATCTGGAAAGCAATTTAAAGCTGCTGTATGCATGTCTGTTTTCTCAGTATTTATAGCTTAAGGAGGTCATGTATGTAGCAAAGGTTACAGGAAGACATGCAAAGCCACAGCTGCTTATTTTCTTGGACATTCAGGAAACACACAGTGCTAGCAGTTCCTGGGGGCTGGAGTTTGGAAGCTCAGCCAATACAGCATGTACAAGCCGGTAACTCAATATTAAAGTTCACACTTGTACATTCTTCAGGTGAAAGTGAAACATTGCTCTAATTATCAGTCTAAAGTTGGTCATATACTCTTATAATTTCAGCCAATTCACAAGAATTAGGCGAAATGCCAACAATGGGTATTCTGACATTGGCGGGTGATGAAAAGGGACGATTCACACTTTAGTGATCTGTCGTTACTTTGTGCATTAATGTGCATTGTCTTAATGCTGCTGATTGATAAAGAATGGGCTGCTAACGTATCACAGGGGTTTAAAAAGACATACAAAATTTTTTGGCAATGCAACACACCACAATGCTCAGTATGCGTATTGTGAATGCGGTGTTGCACAGTACTGTACAGTCCTTTAGGGTGCAATTCACATTGAATGGCTCCACAAATCACACTGCACATAATGCTTTTAATGTTTCAGGAACACAGATATTTTTTCACATGTTGCCACAGTGCCCAGGACTGAATGGGCCCTACTCTTTTGAAGTCCACATGGCTCTAACGGTCACTCTAATAGTTAAAAATTCTACAATGCCTGGTTGGCTATTACTACTAATGAATAACTTTTTGCGATGTATATGATCAGGGCCGCTGTTAATCGGGTCCAGGCCCCATGAGGTCAGAAGGGGGGCCGGACCCGGCAGAGGCTGCCTGTTACATTTGAACTGTATTATTTTTTTGTCATATTTATACAATGTTTGATAACACTTTGAAATATAGTAGCTTTTCATTGTTTTAGGGAG